GCCATAATTTCAGTCCTTTTTCAAATTTATAAAATTGGCTGTCTTCAATTATAATAGTGGAACTGGAAGATGATTGAAAATCAAGATTTGTGCAACTTGGTTCTGTTTCAGCAAATTGGATCTTAAAACTATGTCCATGAATGTCATGAAATGATGAGTTGATAATAAAAAAATTAAAAAGACCCTCCAAATATAAATTTAAGATATTTGCATGTGCATACTTTAAGTTATATACACTATAGCTGTATTTAACATGATCAAAAATGACTGATACATTGTATGAGGTATGCTGTTTCATATGTAGTTTCATTCTACTATCCTTCAAGGTAACGTTAGTCAGTGTCAATGAGTAATGGTGCAGTTCATTAGGACATACTGCAGGATCTGAGCTATATGTAATAACTACATAAGCATTAGTAAATATTGAGGACAATATCTTAACATCAAAAGCATTAGATATAACTAAATGCTTTGGCATATCAGGGTCTGAGGTAAAGACAGATTTAGTTATTGTAACATTGTTAGATGAATTTACCTTCACTGAACAATAGCTAAACAATAAGCTAGAAATAGTGACATCATCACTGTATTGTAATGAAACTCCGATGCTATCTCCATTGCAGTTAATACTAGGAGACTGGTCAAGTCCATGTAGAGTAACATTCTTTACTGTAATAATCTTAATATCATGATTGCTGATGCTACTGTTTCCAATGAAGTAGAAGATGGTGTTATTGTATTGAGACATATTCCTAGCATACACTGATAAAGGATTACAAGGTGACTGAGTAACTGAACTGCAGTCATCAGACACATAATACTGAGCAGAGGAGACAATGGAGGAGCTACTGAAGAATAAGAGAACAACCACTAACAGGAGAGACATAGCTACTGTCTATACTGACTACTCAGTGAGGGGAGATGATATTTATAGGCTAAGCTATGCATGGGTGCTTTTTACTTCAGCAACCAGCCTTTATAGTCAGCCTGTGTATTAATATACATACGAGACCAATAGTAATATACAGTACTATCAATTAGTACTATCTGTAGCTATATAATTAAGTGGAGGTATCTGTGGCATAAATGGTGTACCAACACAGAGTTGTAGCACTTGCATAAACAGTTAGTATAGCACCCATTAGAATTAATCATCAACCTCCCAGCAATTTATTTCTATAAAAAACAGGAAACAGGAAACATAGTGGGAAAATTTATAATCAATCAATCTGATTTGTCAATTACAACTATAGGCAATGTAGAATGAATATAATGTTAATTTGGATTGCTTTCAAGAAATTATCTACCAGTTTATTCCTAATACGTATCATACTTACTGACATGCCACACTCCATGTATACAAGTACAGTCAGGTGAGCAATCTACTAAATTTGTACATGAACTGGCAGTATATTTATTCCTTCAATTTTCAAATTGTTATTCCATTGGATTCCTCCCTCCCTCCCTTTCTCCCTGTAGGTGGGCATCCCTTAGGCAAATTTGTTGCCAGTGCCTTTATGTGGTTGTGCAACATGTTCCATGAAGCTGAGTGTCTCTACTTCATGCAACATGTAACACAACCACATCAAAGGTTTGACCACAAGTTGATATTACATACAGTATGTATGGCTCCAGTCAACAATGCTGCATAGTCAATTAATGCCCAGCTTTAGTCTTGCAAGCCAGACCCTCCCCACCTATTGTCATTTGGGTCATTTCCTCACAGTGCATCAAAATAATCCATCATTTGAGTGGTCCAAAGTGGATGGCTACTATACCTCTCTCCCTCTCTCTTTTTTAGGTCAAGTTATTATGCATGTACAGCACAAGATTCTCCTTCAAAATTATTTTCAAATAAAATTATTACAAATGACGATGATTATAATATCCTGTAAAGTATAAATAATGTGGTTCCTATACTAATCATTACAAGTATATATACCTAGCAAAAAAGTTTTTTTCTGGTGGATTCCCTTTACCATCAGTTATGTGGGGGTTTACTACGAAAAGTACAATCAATATTCTTAGAATTCTCAGGTTTGATTTGTTCAAGTACAAAGTGCAGGTTTGATTGAGGGTTTGATTGTTTAATTTCAAATTTGTTCAAGTACAAATTTGAATTCTAAGAAGGTACGTTACACTTTACATTCCTGCATATTTCCTAAAATTGAGATTTGTACTTGAACAAATTGAAAATTCTAAGAAAGTAAATGTTCAAGTGCATATACATGTACATTCCTAGAAATCAGATTTGTACAAGTAAATTGTTATTATCCATTATTAATATCATTGTTATAATTATAAGCACTAAAGTTGATACAAAACAGGCAAAAACATAAATTACACAACAACATTTACTGGAGGGGGAAGAATGGGGAAGCGAGACAGCCACATCTGGGAATTAATTGTTATTATTATTATTTATTTTAATATTAGTGATATTATTTTTCTTATACATCCTCTCCAGTCTCCCTGCGTCTCTGTCCTGTTTCTCTCCTCCAATCAGTACTACCACTTCTCCCTCTCTACCCATCCTACCCACTCTACCCGCCAGGTGTAAGTACTCAATACCATCACGAGGTACTTCAGTCAAGTACAGAGTACCTACAAAACTAAAATCGAGTCCACGTACAGTTTCTTCAGTACCAATGACCATTTCAATGTCTCCATTTTTAAATTTTCTTAAGAATGACTTGTATTTATTGATATCCATCACTTCTTTATAAAGAGCTCTGTGTTTAATGTCTTTCTGTGCTAGTTCACTCATGAATTGGTTAATGGAGGAGTCTCTATGTATGAATACAAGAGCTTTTGCTTCTCCTCTCTCTTGTTTGACTTTATTAAAATGACTCACTAATACATCAACTTTATTATCATCTCCACACTTGATGTACTCATGACTGATAGTATCAGGTACTCTCATCCTTTCTGAGGTCTCTACTGTTGTTATTATATTGGGTACCTCCCCCCAGCCGTTTTCAGTGAGTTCTTCAAGTGAGTGGGCGGGCATTGTTGCCGATACACAAATCAAGCTACGCTGACCAAACTTTGATTTGTTATC